ATTCATTGCCATCTAGACAAAATATACTAGTTGTTTTGTCTTGACACCGATAGCTTTATCTTTTAGGTATTATTTTTAACTAAGATTGACTCTCTTCATATAATCTAATTGGTTGAATCAAGATCTATATTTTTGGTCAAACAGGTGTCTAAATAAATAAATAGAACTTGACAAGTTTAGGTGTTTATGTATTCAGCCTTTGCTATGTCTCAGCTTTGTGACTGATGGAATGTATTGTTGTCCCCTGAAAACAATTCTCACCATAACCAAATTTGGATGTTGTGTTAGCCCAGTTTAATTTTTTTTTTTTTACATGATATATTCTTGGTTTACCCGATAAGAGAAATTTTCATAAAGCACTATCTTTTAGTAGTAATTAGCCATCTATAGATATCATTTGCTATATTACGGGTTATAGATACCTTTTCTGTGGTTATATGATGTATTTGATGTATTTAAGCTATTGTATTCATGAATACAGTAGCAAAAATAGGCCTGAATCAGGGAAGTCCAGCTAATCAGTTGTTGTATTCGAGTGTATTCGACTGTATTCATGGCGTGAAACATGGGATTACAGCTGGACAGATTACTGTATTCGACTGTATTCACGGCGTGAAACAGGGGATTACACTGTTTTAAAACGGAAAGTGTATCAATTAACATAATAGACTACTAATATAACTCAACAAACTCAATTATAACACACAAAATTCGTATTTCCGGTTATAAAAAAGATTCTCAACTGGAAAAACCCCAAAAACATAGCAATCTTCAGAGAAATTATATAATACATCTGAATAAATAAATTATATTAATTGAAAAAATATATGAATACATAGAATACAGCGGGATACATTGAAATACAATGAAAAAAAGACAGTGAATACAATGAAATACACGGAATACAGTGAGATACATTGAATTACAATGGAAAAAAAAAGACAATGAATACAATGAAATACATGAAGCCACTCCGGCGAATCTGTGGCGGCCTAAGAGGAGAATTGGTTCGAAAGCTTTGTAACGGAGGATTTCAGGCTGGACTACTCGATCGGAACGCCGTCGATTTTGATGAGGCCTTTCCACTCCTAGGGCTTGATTTCCATGGTCGTTGCTTTGATTTCGATGGCCGTTGCTTTGATTTCGAACCTCCATCTGAAAGAATGAGAGATCTAAACAATACATTCCATAGGGATCAAGAACCCATGATTATACAAACAAGCCCTTGAATGACTTAAAAATTCAAGAAGAGACACTTAAAAAGATACTGGAACAGAATGGAGGGACAGAATATTTGGAGCAATGGGGTTTGAATGGCAGAACTAATCCGCAGAAATTCTGGAGGGTATTAAGATAAAGGGTTATGTTTTACAATGGGATGTATCAAAGTAGAGAGAGAAAGAAAATAATGTAATTGATTAGCGTATTTAGTGACTTAGGGCTAGGAGGTAACCAAACTTAAATATTTTGCTATAAACCTTAAAAGGTATCTATAGAATATAATTTTTTTAAATGGTATTTATTTAAAATAAATAAGGTGTTAACCTTTGTTATAGGATTGTTTGGTTTCGGATTGAAGAATTAAAAATTTTGGTTTTTAAGTTTGGTTTTGGATTTAAGAAAGTAAGAACCGAAAAACAAAAAACAAATA